GGTTATAAGCCTAGCTCTTTAAAGACCTAAAAAAGACCTTTAAAAACAACTTTAATAAGATTTAAACCTATAACCTCTAGATCTTTAAGATTAGATATTTAACTAACTAGACTATATTAAGACCTTCTGCTAAAGGCAATATCTATTAAAATAGATTTAAAGATAAACCTTTTACACCTTAATAGAACTATTAACTATACTACTTAGGTAGTTTAAATCTAGGCCCTCCTTATATCTAAAGAGATTATTATTAATCTTAATACGCCTCTTTCTAAGGAAAATAAGGATAATAATAATAAAGCTTTAGCTTTTATCTAGTTATACTATTCTAATAGGCCTTTAAGAGTTATTAAAGACTATACTAGTACCCTAAAAGCCTAGAAAAAGCTAGCTAACCTATATAAGCCTAAGGGCTTTATAAACAAATTCTTAACCTATAAGGAATTCTTTAATACCTCTTTAGAGGATTTTAATACTATAGAAGAATACCTTACTAAGGTTAAAGAATTAACTAATAACCTAGCTAATAATAAGCTAGAAATACTTAAGAAGGTAATTATTACTTAGGTTTTAAATAGCCTAAATAATAGTTATAAGGGTTTTATAACTAATATAACCTAAAGCCTTTAATAAGATCCTAATTCTTATAATCTAGATATACTATTTTCTAGCCTTCTAGATAAATATAAAAGAAAAAAAAGATCTAATATTATAGCTATAACCTAAGCTATTAAAAATAATAAGGTAAATAAAAAACTATAGAAAAAAGAGAAAGGTTTATTTTATAGAAACTATAAGAAAACTAACTATATAGAAAGTAATAGCAGTTTTTTATATCTTAAAAAAGCACCTAAATAGTAAAAAAATAAGGAAATTTAAAAAGAAGATAAAGTAGTTAATATAACTACTAATAAGGATAATAAGGAAATAGATATTAATATAAGCCTTTCCTTTAGAGGAGATACTCCTCCTGCTTATAATCCTAAGGCCTATAATAATATTCCTTTTAAAAATATAAGTATTATACCTAATAATAATAATAATAATAATAATACTAATAAAATAACCTTAGGTAATTTAATTAAGGAAAAACTAAGGGAAATAAAATAAATTATATCTAAGAATAAGAATAAATTGTTATTTTGCCTTAATATAGCTGCTATAATATATACTATAAGTAATATTAAATATTTATCTAATATAACTTCTATTAAAGCAGAAATAAAATAGGGAGAAGTAGAATCTCTTATAGTAAGATATAAAGGAGATTTAAAAATAAATATTAATAATAATATATTTATACTTAAAGATATATATTATATTCCTAAGTTAGGACTAAATCTACTAAGTTAAAATAAACTAGATAATATAGAAATAGCCTCTATATTCTATAATGATAAACCTATACTTTATAATATTAAACTAGATATATCTAATATTAGGGTCTAGGGTAGTATTTACTACTATAAAAATAAAGATCTAAATATAAGAAAACTTAATTCTAGAGCTAATAAAGGAGTTATTATAAATTATAGAAATAATGCTTATAGAATATAGGATTTAAAGTCTAGAAGGCCTATATAGTCTAGAGACGTTAATATATTAGAAAATACTTTTATTTCTAATATAAATAATAAAGAGGAACTTATATTTAATAATATAAAATATAATAAGAATAATACTTCTATTATATAGAATAATAATAATAATAATAAGATAGTAATAGATATTCCTTTAATAAATAAGGAAGATTATAAAGATTATAAAGATATATTATATACTATAGAAGATTGTCCTACTATAAATATTTTAGCTCCTATTAATAGAGATAAAGATATTATATCTTATATACTATCTACTTCTACTTTATATAAACCTACTACTTTTAAACAAGCTATAAGTAGTAAAGAAAAAGATAGCTAGATAAAAGGAATAAATAAAGAAATATAAGAACTAAAAAAATATAATAAAAAAGATATATATAAGTATAATACACCTATAGATAATAATAAAAAGTTATATAAAAATAAACAGTAAGCTAATAAAGAAGATATA